TTTTTTTCTGAAGGGTTACTCAGGATAGGCGTTTTCTTAGGGGTACATTGGAAAAGTACCATTTTCTGAAGGGTAGTTTAAAAAAAGGCAATTTTTCTTAGGGGTACCAATTGAAACCACCATTTTCCGAAGACTTTTTAGTAAAAGGTCATTTTTCTTAGGGGTACATTGGAAAAGTACCATTTTCTGAAGGGTATTTTAATAAAAAGTCAATTTTTCTAAGCAGTACCAATTGAAACCACCATTTTCCGAAGGCTTTTTAATAAAAGGTCATTTTTCTTCGGGGCACAACAAATTAAGACAACTATTTTCTGAAGGCTTTTCAGTAAAAGTAGGGTGGTGGTGGTGGGCGTGGAGGGGATGAGAATCCAGAGGGGCGGCAACATCGAATTTTATGTGCTAAAGAGGGGATTGCAACGTCTAGCTAAGGTTTTTGTTCTGACTGATTCCACCAGTCTGTTGGTCGCTCTACTAGTTGAAGTGAGAACTCAAAGTGACGAATGGAAACTACAACTTATGGAATCAGTCCTTGTTTTTTCTTACAACAGGTTTTTCCATATCATCAAAGTTTTTAGTGAATATAGTTGTTAGTTAGGCACTATTAGTCACTATCACCCAAYCAGAACAAATGAATGAACAAATAAACTAATTAAAGCTTTTGTTCACGTTGTCTCTTGTGTTTGTGGMGTCTCTAAATTCATTTGTTCTGGTTGGTGATAGTGACTAATAGTGACTTACTAATGACTATTTAGCCACTGAAAAYTTTGATGATCTTTTTCTTTTTTTTCTCATATATGTTAATCATGATTTCCCATAAATTCATATATACTTTGACCTGTAATTGGAATATGAGCAAAGTCATCAAAATTCCTGCATATTGCTTTACTGTACAGTATACTATATATAGGTAGAATGGTGCATGGCAAAACAACAACTTTCAGTATTATGTCTCGCTTTTCCAAGGGGCATTTGACGTTTTATTTATTGTTTTCAATGTTTTTTAAAGACAAATAAGTCCCGTTTAGCCCATCCTTAAAACCGTTTCTTAAAATTTCAGCTGGATCTGCCCTTGTTTTTTCACAATATAATTTGAGAATTCAGCAAACTGAGTGTTTTGCGTATGTCAAATATATTTTTTATAAGTAAGATAATAATAAGACTATCGAGACAGTTTGACACGAAATTTTCCTTTCTTTTCAGCTTTACAACTAACTATAAAACGAAGGGAAGGTAGCTAGGTCAACCCCACAGTGACCGCCAGAAATTAATTTCTAGCTCCTCCGAAAATGTGAATCACGCTAATATTCCCTCGGATTATCTTTGCCAGAGAAACTCTCCATCGATCCACACGTGCAATTTCGTTTTGAAACTTCAACGCTATCACAACGAAAACCCGCTGTATTTCGACCATATCACCGAAGGTCGGGCTCTTTCTCAATGTATACAACACTCATTATACGCTCTATATACCTCAATATAACCTAACCTTATCCCTTACCCTAAACCTAACCCTTTGGGAACCCTGTGTTGTATACATGAAGGAAGGTCGAGCCTTGATAAGTTGATACGACCAGGGTTGGACATTTCAAACCATACATTTCAAACCATACTGACCCCTCCCCCGCTTAGTCATAATTATAMCTTTTTTTCAAAGCAAAGGACCAGGTTCTCTCCCTTATAGTTAGTTAGTTTATAGCCATAGTTTTTAGGAAAAACAAGTTTTTTTTCTAAGATAGTCTAACGCATAAGATTAAAAGTATAAACTTTTAAGTTTATAAAAAATATAGTTAGTAATAGCAGTAGGGCTCAGTGTTGACATATTCTTGACAGAAATGTAACAGAATTTTAACCTTGTAACTTGGGGTCACTGACCAAAGGCTTATGACGATGAAAGGACCTGGTTCTCTCCCTTTATAGTTAGTTAGTTTATAGTTATAGTTTTTAAGTTTTTTTTGGACTAAGATAGTCAATTCAGG